CATCATCCCTCGGTCCAGCCGAACGCCACGAAGGAGGACCTGGCGCCGCCCGTGTTCCCGTCGCACCCACCGCTCGGCGCTCTGGGACGCCTGTCCGCAGCTTAAGGAGCGCGGGGTGGGCGAAGCCTGAGGCGGAGGCCGTTTTCCCCGGCAGCACCACGAGCCCCTCCCGCGGCGGGAGGGGTAGGCAGCAGGGAGGCAGCCCCCCATCTCCCCTCACTCCGGGCAGCCGGCGGCTGCGTGGTGGGGCGAGTCCCAGCGGCTGCTGATCCCTCTGCGTGTTTTTAAAGACCGTATTTTTAAAACAGTGGTATTTACAATGTGCTGAAGGAAATTACTATGCGGGCATACTGTGCGTTTAAGTTACACCGCGTAGAAAAGGAGAATAAATGTGGGGTCAGATCGGGGAGGCAGTTCCTCCTTCTTGAAGCCATAACGATTTTGGAACTTTAAAACTTTTCTGTCCCCATTCTGGCAGTGCGCCTGCACGTGCTTCCCTCCACCGCAGGACTCGCATGCCGTAAGATAGCTCTGGCAGTGGTGCGCTAAGCGTGCCTTCCTTTTAAAGGCTGAGATAGCATAACATACGGTATTTTTACATAGGACTTGCGGTTGGTAATAGAGGAGTCAACAGGTAGTGCAAGTGACAGTATTTCCTGTCCAGCAGTTTTAATATATTTATCCGAAGTTGAGCGCCTAAGAGCTCACCATCACGCTGGCGGAGACTGAAGGTCTGCTGTCTCAGTTTCTTGACTCTGACAGTTTGGTATTAAAAGATTTCCAGCTGTTGCAGCTGGAAAAGCACTCAGCTTTTTGAAAATGCAAAGTCTTAAGTAGCAGTGAGGAGAAAATAAGTATTTTTAATTTTAGTGCTCTTACATATGACTTTAAAGTTACAGTTATGTAGTATGAGAATTAGATAAACAGCATAACAACTTCACGGGTTCCTGAAAGAGCTGTTCAAATGCTATAAAACTGCATTATCGTTAAGGAGAAACTAAAAAAGGTGCTATATTTTAATGTATTGTCCTTTTATATTAACGTGTACTTAAATTCCATTTTAAAGCTTTTGTCTGAAATAATCGGGGCTGAATTTTAATTTTATATAGTAAAAGTACATATTTGTGGAATGCCACGGTGAGCTGCTCTTCAAAATATGCCAAATATTACATGGATTGTAGAGACTGTATGTCATTCAGCTTTTTCAATGTGGTGTAAGTTTAAAAAGTTGTAAATGGTGCTTCATAAATTCCAGAATTATAGCCTACTTCATGTTTAGATTACATCCAAGGAAAACAAAGTCTAGATAAATGATAATGCAATGTCAATGAAAACTTTTTTTCAGAGACTTATGGTGATTGGCGTATGGGGGAATTCCTGTTTGTTTCTTTTTTTTAAGCTTGTGGTAGGTAGCAGTAATGTGTAATTGTTTTTAATTCTTCCTCTTTGTGACTCATTCAGGTGACGCTTCTTGATGTGTGTGTGTTTTGTTGCCCTTGCCAGTCCATCAGTACTCTTTTCCTTCTGCTTCTGACTCAGATGCAAGAGTAGATTTGATCGACCTTCACCAGGTATTAAATACTAAGGCTTGGCAATTTCTGCACAATTTGGATGTGTGGAAGAAAAGGCTACCTACTACATGGACAGTAGTGCTAGAACTAGAATGCTGTTGATGGAAAGTTAGTTAGGGTATGCTTTAATAAAAGGATGAAGAGCAGAGGCAGGGTTAGCTCTGAAATGTGGGAGGAGACTGACATAAACTGGGAAACTTGTGGATTGACAAGACGCTGTCATTAATTTCTGAGAAAAGCAGGATCCGTATCAATGTAGTAATTAGCCATGCTGTGTAGGCATGGCGAAATGTCAAGATACTCAGTGCCAGCAGGTTTTTCAGACTTTGCATTCCCCTTTTGTCTCAGCCTGGGAAAATCTGCAGCTACCAGAGCTCAAGCTCTGAGCTGCTGGTTATTTGGGTAACTTTGAATGGCTAAAGCTTGCTTGTCACCTAGTGTGGAGAAGCAGCTGTTTGGACAATTCTGCTTCCAGTAGGCTGGGTGTACCCGTGGGGCTTATGCAACTGGAGTTACAAGCTGAAGGCAGAGAGACATACAAAGGAGCGGGTCAAGGGCATGCATATCCTGTAACAGTTCCTGCGTATCTTCTCAGAAGAGCTGGGTTTGGGAACATGGACCAAGTAGCTGCACTCAGGCAACTGTTCCAGCATAAGGTTTCCATCTAGGACCACTCAGAGGCTGGATGTGAGTTTCTATCCATAAGGCAGGAGGGAAACTGTAGAAGTGTCAGGCCTTTGACTCCTTCTCTCTCTGATAATAATTTGCTGTGGTAGGCCTTTCAAGTTTTGCCATCGTAGTTTTTCCTAAAGTGCAATCACCTGCAGTTTTTCATGGGGACAGCTCAGAGCTTTAGGGAATGATAATCCAATGAGGGATTTTATGAAGGGATGGTGATGAGGAGCTATGAAAGTATCAGTAAGCCATGAGATCCCCATGACTGTTACACAAAGTGAAGTAGGTCAGCCTTAGTACCTGTACAAGAGGGCTTCTTTCCTTTTACCTGCCAGGTGGGAACTAGAGGCCTAAGCATGCCATGAATTATGCTGAAACATGGAAGAAGCCTCGCAGAATAAAACAGAGAGATTTACGGCTCAGGCATACAAGTTGTCACAAAGTAGTAAGCTAGGTAACTCAAATCTACAAGTGCACTTTGATGAAAACTTAAATACAATACGATTAATTCTACTTCATCAACTGAAAAACCAAAAGTCTGAAGGAAAAAATAGAAAATAAACTTTTTTCTAAAATTCCTGTGGAAAACAAAGGATTTTTTGTACTAGCTTGACTATTATATGGAGACTATCCTGACCAAATTGCAGTTTCTGTTAAGAAGTACTT